GGTATTTTTCAAGTTATCGCTTGAAATTTTTTTAAAATTAAAGTTATCGCGAAAATTGCATTTATTCAAAATTACTAGCCAATTAAATTTCGCAACGTTTGTCGATCGTTCTGGAACGTCGATCATTAACAGTATTTGGTAATAACCATAAATGGTAATCTCCCTGACTGTAATTGGATAATTTGTTAACCAAAGGATCATTTGAATCTATAAGTTGGTCAATCATAATGGCACGGCGGTTTCTTTTCTATAGAATTAAAATTTAAAATAATTTATTAGTAAACTCTAAATAAAGTCAATGTTAATTGATTACTAACTTCACTATGTCGAGAGTTTTTGTGTTTTCTTCTTGCTTGTTTATCTTGAACATCATCTGGCTGGTCTTTTAGCTTATGTAATTTATGTTGGTGCCTATGTCTTTTGTGTAATATTTTATATAATATCCCATCCACAACAGGAAATATATCAAAGTCAATAGATGCTTTGGCGGTTAGTATAATAACCTCATTAACTAAATCCTTTTGTATTTCAAATGTTTTGTTTAAATCCAATCAGTTTTCAGATGCCATTCTATTTATTATCCAAAATAATTCTCTCTAATATAATAATTTATATATTCATTAGTAATATAAACAATAAATCAATAAATAAAATAGAATCATACTTTTAAAGACCCCTGAAGGTTTTTTGGCATATCAGCTGCATAAAGAAATTTAGTATTATTTTGGCGAGAAATCCGCTGATTTGAATTGGAATAGTCAGAAGAATCTATCGATGAACTTTTTAACGAATAGTTATCTGATGGAGTTATAGAATGAGAACGACGATATTTCTTCAATTCTTATTTTTTATTATACTTATTTCTGTCATTCTCGTCAATTATATAATCATCCGATTAGTTATCATTAGAATCAATAATGATTGGCTTTTTTTGTTGTTGATTGCTTAAAGAGGTTTTTGAAGTTAAAGTTTAGGATTCTTCAACTTTATTTTTGAAAGTTGAAGCTTGATCAGATAAGTTCTGATCATCATCTTATTCAAATTCTGACAGATTACTGATGTAAAAATGATTTTTTTTGGTTGAATTCTGCTTTTTAACTGATAAATGATTCAAATCCACTTCTTTATTCTTTTCTTTTAATAAAACATTTATACAATCTCTCATTTTACTTATTTGTTTAGCTAGAACAGTATAATCTATTTTTTGAAAAAAAAATATCTGATAGTCATCCAATGTATATATTAATATATGATATATTACCTTTACTAGTGTGTTTATCTTTTTCTGAAGTTTTCTCCATTGTATAATCTGAATAGCTCCATTCTGATTCTGAACTGTTTATTTGTGATTAGTTGATATTAAGTATTGATTACTTGTATAATAAAAAAAAGTGTTTATATTTACCGATCTCTATTATTTTTTTGTTCTTTTGATATCTTTTACGAATAGATTGTGATCGGTGTCTTTTATGAATAGACGTTGACCAGTATATACTTCTTTCTCAGCCTCTTTAGTATTTCTGACCTCTACTATTAGAACGGCTTCTATCTCGACTATACTCTTGATGATGATGGTGTCTTGATTTATTTCTAACAGAGTGGTGAATCATTTGAAAAAAGAAATTCAAAGGACAATATTATAAATATAACTCTCGAAGAATTAGAAAGAAATATTTTGAAGAAAAATTAAAAAGGACTTCTTTTATACTTTTTAAAATTCGTATGAAAAGTTTAACTGCAAGTTTATTTTATATAGATAAAAAAAGCATTTTATATAATAAACCTTTATTGTTTAACTATTAAAAGTTTATTCTTGAAGTCAAAATAAACTTTTGCACATGACATACTAAATGGCCAATATTTATATATTAATTCTTTAATTAAATTTTTGATAAATATTTCTATATAAATGTACGCGTTTTTATATGCTATCTGATTTACTAATCTCTTTAATAAAAAATGTCAAGAAATAATATCGTTAAAAAACTTCTACTAGAGTACGAAATAAAGTTAAATGTCATTGTAAAAAATGTAGAGGAAAAATGGTTGATCCAAGAACACAAAATAAAGAAAAGGAAGAAAACCAATTTCAAGCTTAATTTTTTAAATCATACAGATTAAAAATTGCAATATCTTCTAATGTATATCCTACATCTCAACCATTTAAGATAGAACATGATCCAATTGAAGAAGGAACATCATCTATAAATATAATGCATTGTAAAAAGGTAGAAGATATTGCGTATATTGAATCTGACTCACATATATCTAGTGAAAACGAAGAAAATCATAATACTTATTTCATTAAGAAAAGAAAGAGGATTGATCACTATAGAAAACCTAATGAAGAAATCATTGATTCTGATCAATCATCTAACTCTTCTAATGATAATGAGGATTCAGTTAATGAGGATTTGGTTGATGAGAAAACTGATGAAGAATATATGCTAAATGAAGATGTTTCAGTTGATTTATTTACAGCTCCTAATTTTGATGATTTCGATGATAGACCAAGTCTTCAAACAGATAATTATGATGACTCATGGATACTTTTATGGATATTCAAGTACCAAGAAAGATTTCAGCTATCAGATATTGCACTTAATGTGTTAATTAGGTTTTTTGATCTTGTTTTAAAAGGTGCTGATTCACGAAGATTTAAAAATTTTCCTTCAATCACTTATATGACATGTAAATTATTTGACATTAAAAAAAATCAAAAATATTTGCAGTATGTCTGAACTGCAATAAATTGTATAATGTCAATGAAATAATTAAAGATAATACCAATTTTACTAGATTCAAATGTAATCATATTGAATTTTCTAGTCACCCAATGCAAAGCCAACGCAAACCTTGCAGATCAGAACTATTAAAAAAGTTTCCAGCGATTAAAGGTCATGTTTGGCATCCAAAAATGATATACACATTACCATCTTTAAAGATTCAATTAGTCACAATGTATCAAAGACCAAGTTTTGAACAGAATTTGAAAAAATAGACCAATCGAAATATTGAAGCTAGTATGATGTTAGATATTTATAAAGGAGAAGTATGGAAAACATTTCCATTGCAATTAGACATTTCAGATGCTTTTCAATTTTTCTCATATGAAACAGCCGAAACTCATTTAGGTATTATGATCAATTTAGATTAGTTTCAGCCCTTTGAGTAATCAGCATACAGTTATAAAGCAATTTATGGTGTAATCTGTAACCTACCCCGCGAAATAAGGTTTAAAAAAGAAAATATATTGACATTAGTATTACTGCCAGAACTTAACGAAGTCAAACTTCATAAAATAAACCATTATCTTGCGCTAATAGTTGATAAGTTACTAAAATTTTGGAAAGGTGTCGACCTATCAGTTACCAATAAATATCCTACTAGTAAACAAATCAGATTGGTAATAATTTGTTGTTCAAATGACATACCAGTTGCTAGAAAATGTGGTCATATATCGGCCCTAGCTGGATGTCATCGATGTTACAAAAGGGCTGATGGAGAAGAAGGCTAAAGGGCTAATTTTAGAGGATTTGGAGATATGGATAAATAGTTTATAATGAAGGATCCAATTGAGCATCGAACTAATGCTATTATTTGAAAATATCAGCAAACAAAGGAAGATAGAAAATTGCATATTAATAGGACTCATGTTAGATGGTCTGAACTGCTTCGTCTTTCTTACCACAATCCAATAAGGCATCTTATTATAGATCTGATGCATAATTTATTTTTAGGAATTGCAGATTGGATTGTAAAAAGGTTATGGATTGATGAAGGTAAAATCTCCAAAGCAAATCTTGAGTTAATAGACAAACGTGCTAAAAAATTTCACATACCAGCAGACTTAGAAAGAGTCCCTTGTAAAATGGTAACTAAAGAGGGATTCTTCAGATTTACGGCTGATCAGTGGAAGACATTTATTATGTTTTATGTTACTCTAATTATGTGGGATCTTTTAAATGTCACTGATCAGCAAATATTAGTTAATTTTGTTAGAGCATGTTATTTATTAGTATCTCGAATTATTAACGATAATATGTTAAATGAAACACATACACTACTTTCCAAAAAGTATCTAATCAAGCTTTTTTTAAATTTCTCAAGATCAGATATATTAACTAAATAAAATTTTTTTTTAAATAAATCTCCTGATTCTGACGATTAAGTACATATGTTTA